TACTAAACACCTTCCCTCTCCAAAGATCATCTGAGTAGAAATGGATGTTTGGAGAAGGGAAGTTGGATAAAGTCAGGCCAAGAGTGGTTCAGGTCTGTGTGAAACAGCTGAGTCCTGTCCCTGAGGTGCCACTGTCCCCGTGTGCATAAGCCAAGTGTTTGGGGTGGGGCGGGATCCTTCCTGGGGGGAGATGGGATCCATACCCTGCTTTGCCTGTGGAGCTGTTGCATGGACAGGCAGCTTGCTGGGTAACCTGGGAATGTACTAACCCGTGCTGCATGGAGAGGGCTGTGTGCCAGGCGGGGTTTGCTGCTGTTGCTGTTGCCCAGGGCTCTAATGCACGTGCCAAGGTCACCCTGACATTTCCAGTTTGCATGCACAGACCCCTTCAGGCATCTTTGTCTCCTCTGTCCCAGGACACTTCTTGGGAATTCCCTGTATTCATTTTCATCACCCTCCCCTTGCTTTTCTTCACTCTTTCCTTTTCCTCTTGCACAGCCAGGCCCCTGCTGGGGCAGGGAGGGGCTGGGATGGTGCTCAGTGCCACCAGGGACAGCTGGAGCTCAGCTGAGCTCCCTTTGCTCTCTCCTCCCTCAGCAGCAGCTCCAGGGGCTGGGCCCTCGTGGTGCAGGACTAACCCACATGGTCTGAACTAACCCTGCATGGTGCTCGGGTTTGGACAGGCTCAGGGAATGCACCTGGGCTTCAGGCATTTGAAAAGGGCACAAGGGCTTCCTGGGAATGTTCCTTCTTTGCTCTGTGACATAAGCACAGAGTGAATGGCATCCAAAAGCTGTAAATAATCCAGCTTGAGTTATTTTGGCTTTAGCTGTAAGGTGGCTGGATACCATTGTTAGCAATAAGAAATATTTTTAAGCTTATTGTAATTTTAAAGCTTTGTTTCATGACAAAACTTCCACAGTTGTTTTAGTTATGTTGTCTTCCATGCCATCCTTGATTCCACCAGAATCTAGGGAACTCTCATTTCTCTCCTCAGTACTTGGGCTTTTTATCATCTCCATCTCCCATCCACGTCCTTATCTCTTCAACATCATCCCTTTCCTGCTGCAAGTTCTGCAATTCTGTTTCACAGTTTAACAGCTCAATCCATTCTCTGCTTTGCCATTACAGGCATCATTGAACTTCTTTTTAGTATCATTCCCCTGCTTGGGGAAATTTTTGGGGTTACTGAAAATTCACATTACTCTGCATTAATTTTAAAGTTTTGTTTTGTTTTTTCAACATTGGTCATAACTTTGCCAATGCCACCTGTGTATTTTAGTCTGGTATTGATAAGGCACTTTAAAAGACTCCCACTGTAGATGCTGAGTAAACTGGCATTTACATCTTAAGGGGCTGTCTTGCTGTGAAAAAGTGCTTTTTTTTGCTTTTCTAAAAACGTTTTTCCCTCTAATCTGAGCATTTTGGTCAGTTATTGAAGTCATTGTAACCACTGGAGTTTCATTGTTTTTCCATTAATTTCTTTTACAGAAAGGGACTGCAGGTGCTCTCTTCCCCTCCCCACTAATTGAAGTAGCTGTCCCTGTAGCCTGTGGCTCAGTGCTGCTCCTCAGTATTGGGCTCATATTCATGGTGCTCACGGCAAGGAAGAGGCGCCAGTCCGAGGGGACCTACAGCCCGAGCCAGCAGGAGGTGGCAGGAGCTCGGCTGGAGATGGACAGTGTCCTAAAGGTGCCACCTGAAGAGCGCCTGATCTAGGCCCTGCCGTGCCCAGACCTGCACCTGCAGGGTCTGCCTGGACCTGCAGCTCTTCCAGCAGTGGCAGCAGCAGATCCAGCCCGTCCCAGTTCCCCCAAGGCCTGGTCAGAAGACACGGACGTCCCACGGGGCAGCGGTGCCCAGAGCAGAGCTGGGCCTGCCACTGCTGCACACCAGGGGCTCCAAGGGAGCCTCTGCCCTCCCTCCTGCCCTGGACTGGCCTTTGCTCTTCTCAGCAGGAGCTCAAGTGGCTCTGGCTCCAGCCCCCTCCCAGGCAGGAGAGGCACATTAAAAGCATCTTCTTTTCCAAGGCAGGGTGACCCGAGGCACCTGTGCAGGTTCAGCTCCCTGAGTCCCACTCAGGAGCTGAGCTGGGGAAGGCCATGGCTGTGGTTTGTATATTCTTCTCTGGTTTTGTCAACAGCTGAAAACCATTCAAACTCTCTCAGCTCAGGTGTGTGAGGTTTTCAGTCTTCAACAGCAACAGCAGCTGTGACCTCCCTGTGACAGCCGTGTGTTACAGGGAGTTGTCAGGAATGATCCAAACCCTTGTATAAATCAGTGTTGAATGACGTGGTGCTGTTAGACATTCCCATGGGTACCGTGCAGGGAAGGGCAGGCAGGACTCCGGGGGTTTGGGCCAGGGCTGGAGCTGCCGGCTGCTGGACTTTGGCAGGAAAAGCTCACCAGGCTCCTGGGCACTGCCGGGGCTCTGTGGGACAGGGACATTTCCTGCACAGCGCGGCTGAGGGAGGCGCTGGGGGCTGAGGGGTGTGAAATGCAGCAGCGTCCCGGTGGAAGCTCTGAGTAACTCCCTGTTCTACCACAGCAGCGAGTGTGGGCGCACCTCAGCCACTCGTCCGTGGTGGGAGCAGTCGGGGCTGCGGGGGCTGCCCTGCTCCTCGTGCTGGCTGTAGCCACGGCGATTGCCATGAAGAGGAGGAGAGCGACTCAGGGAACCTACAGCCCGAGCCGGCAGGAGAAGGACGGGGCCCGAGTGGAAATGTGGAACGTGATCAAGATGCCCCCGACCGAGCGGCTGATCTGAGCCCGGGGTCACACGGAGCTGCCCGGGGGCCGCGGGCTGGGGGGGACACAGCTCGGCACGGCCCTGAGCTCCCACTGCCCATCCCACACAGCATTCCTACCAAACTGCTCCGGCTGGGGAGGAAAACCCCACTGCTGAGGGCCAGGGGAGGAGGGGAGGGAGCAGTGGCTGCGGCACAGGGGGGACACGGAACAGAGAGAGGACGGGGCTGTGTCACAGCCAGAGCCGGCTGGGCCCCTGCTCCTGCAGGCAACAGAAAAACCACCCTGAGGCGGGTCCAGTCAATGGGAATTAAACCACTGTACTCAGAAATAATGTGAATAAGGTTTTTTTCAAGAAGACACGTGCCTGTGGCTAAGCCAGGTGAGTGAGTGGTGGGAAATCCTTCCTAGAGCTGCTGCTGCCCTTCCTGCTGGGCCAGAGCAGGCATGGCAGCAAGCCCCACTGGGCTGTGCTGGACATGGCTGCTGGAGCTTGCCCTGAGACTAGACCAAACCACAGGAATATTTGAAGTGCCTTTCTGATCCTGAGGTGCCAGTTACAGTTTAACCTTTGGGAAAGGAGGACGTCTCCATGTTTGATCCTGCTCTGCCACTCCCCGAGCAGGGGCTTGGAGCTGACCATGGAACTGACCCTTGTGGGAGCTTGCTGGGGTGAGGAGGGGAGAAAGAGAGTTCTAGAAGTGACCTCTCTAGGCTGACAGGTTTGGGCTTGTTGGTACAGAAGAGTGGAATTTAGTTAACCAGTTCTTTAACCCACAGCAGGGTTGGTGTTGTGACACAGCATCTGCTTTCCACGGCACTAAAAAGGGGGTTGATGTTGTGGCTTCACTCCTGTGTTACTGTTTTAGCTGTTCAATGTGCTGATTCTTCTTTAGCATAATGTGGCAGAGGCTGTGGAAGGAAATGTAGCACAGCAGGCCAGGTAAGCTCTAAAGTCATTAGTGTTTCAGGATAATCACTACAACTATCAATGAGGAATATTTTAGAACAGTGTCTGCTATTTAATCTCCAAAATACTATTAAATGTCAGGGTGGGAACCTGCCATTGTAGCTCATTGCCACAAGAAAATGCTGTTTATCCTGGTCTGCTTTTGAATTTATTTTTTTCCTACTGTAGCTGTATGTGTTTCTGCAACTCCAAGCAAAGGGAGGGGCACACAACTACTGCTCACATGATGTGTTCAAGAACAGGTGTGTCTGTGTAAGAACAGGTCTCTGCAACAGGCAGCTGCTGACAGAAGAATGAAAATTTTAGAAAATAGCAAAAACAAAGGAATGGGAGGCAATATTTTGTTTGTAAGATCATTTTCTCTCTGGTAGAGGAGAAGAGTGGAAGGTGTGATCCCAGGCTGTGTCTGGGAGGCAGCTGGAGCTGGCAGTGACAGAGATGCTCTGGCTGCAGGTGGAGCCTGTGGCTGCTTTCCTGTTTCTCAGCAGGGACTCTGCTGGCACTGCTCCTGTCACTGCTTTGCTCTGGGCAGTTCCCAGCTGCTCTCTGGGGACGTCCAGCACACTTTTGGGAACAGAGCCAGTGGCACTGCCCGGTCCCCTGGTGGCAGTGGGGCTGTGGGAGAAGGTGAGTGGGGTTTTCCTGTGGCTTCGTGCACAGGAGGCTCCAGGGCAGCAGAGCTGTGCCAGGACAGCACCGGGCAGAGGGAAGGGCAGGGGGGGCCCTGTGCTGCCAGGCAAAGGCTGCTGTGGTTTCCTGCAGCCCGGGGGGTGCAAGAACCTCCTGGGGGCTTTGGGGTCTCTGCCCCCTCCACCCCAGGACCCCAGGGCAGCTCCTGCTTTTCTGCTCCCCTGTACACGTGCTGTTTGTGCTGTACAGAAAGGAGGCAGCAGCAGGATCCAGCAGGGCCCCTGTTCCTCCAGAGCTCCCCGAGCTCCTGCAATTCCCTGCAAGGTTGAAATCCCTGGAGCCCCGGCAGGTCCGGCCGTGCCCCCGCAGCTCCTCAGGGCTGCATTCCAAGCACCCAAAGCCAGTATTAGCAAAGGTGTTAAAATACTCTGACAGTGTCTTGAGCATTTCTGCAAAATAATTTATGGAAGGGTTTTTTTTTTTCAATAATGAACTTAATTTCTTTTGATATTTAATTTTTGAATATATTTTTTCACAAAACTGGACTTGCTGTAGTTAATGATCGTGCTCCTGATTTCTTTTTTAATTGTAAATTTTATAATTTGTAAATAATTAGAATGTTCTTCAAAAGAAATTTACAATAAAATTTGGTTAAAAACAGACCTGGTTGTTGACTTGTGACTGTTTTTCCCTGAAGAACACCTTGCTGTCTGGATGGCTGATCGTGGTCTGTGCCACACCCCCTGCACAGCTTCAAACCTTGATGGCTCTTCACAGTTAAAGGATGTTTTGGTGATGATTTATCACAGCCCACGGTGCAGAGCTTTGCCCAGCAGAAGGACAGAGCTGCAACACCAAAGGAGGAGCTGGGGAAACCTCTGCTCTCTGTGCACCTCCCTGAGCTGCATTTCACCATCAATCCTTGACTTTCTGGGCAATAGAGACTGGAATGTGGGAAAAAGAGACTCAGTGTCCAATGACTGCCCCATGTCCATGTGCAGTGAACTGGAAGCCCAAAGTGAGCAAGATACAGAAATGGTTTCACCTCTTGTGCAGCAGCAGTTGCACCACAAATTTTGAAGAGGTTTCCCTTGTTTGTTTGTTTTTAAATAAACTTACTTCTTATGGCAGGAAGCAGCTGTAAACAAGCAAAGCAGTACCAAACACAGGGCGAGTACAGGAACCTGGACAAAGTCAAGTATAAAGTCACTGATGAGTAAGAGCAGGAACACTTTTTATACTGGATTAATAAAAACATCCAAATTCCTTCTAGTGCCAAACTAGAGCTGGTTCAGTTAGGCTTTCCTGAGTTTAAATAAGATGAAAAATCCCTACATGCTGTCCTAGGGATAGTTCCATTCCTATGTTACAAGAAACCCCTAAAAAAGTCTGCTTGCAAACCCTGCTCCAGAAGTGAGGAAAATCAAATTCTGTCCTCCTGGATCTCAGAGGTGCTAAATAAAGTGGAGGGTGAATAAATGGGTGTTAATACTCTTCAGTGCCCCAAAACTGACTTAGCAGAGGATCCATAATATGGCAAAGTAACCAGAGGTGGAAATGAACAGGACAGAATTTCCTGAGTGGTTTAGAGCATCTGAGATGAACTCCTGAGAGTCTGATCACTGTGTGACATTACTGAGTTTAAACAGGGCCTGTGGAGCCCTGCTTGGCACAGGCAGGATTGTCCAGTGCCCATTCACATCCACCAGAATCCAGAAACTTTTATCATCCAGTTCAGAGCAAAGGAGCTCTGAAATGCCAGACTGAATTGTATATAACATTCTTAACTGTATAAAATAAAATGGAACTGGTATCTTAGACTTTAAATATTTTACTATTCAATACTAAACCCATCTGTCTTTCAACACAAAAAGAAAGTACAAATCCAAGTGAATGGCCTGTCAGAGGAACAGCACTGTACAGAAACAGAATATTCCTGGAATACTGTGGTCTTCCCAAAACCGACAGGATTTCAGATATTATTTTTCTTTTGTACTGCCCAGACTCGAACACAGAGACAGCCATTCCCATTCCCCAGAGTAAGAAAACTTCCAAGATAACATGAATAAAATAGATACATTGGAAATCAGATAAAGCTTTACAAGAGTTTTCCCATGTGTCCAAGATGATTTCCTTTAGCAAAGGCTCAATGGTGATGTGATTCCCTCTGCCAGAGTGACAGGTTTGACACCAGAGTGTGCCCAGATACAAAACAAACCAAAAAAAGCACCACTGAAGTGAAACAGAAATGATCAGAGCCAGCAGCTTTCCTGGGGGATGCTGAGGCTCGTGTGAAATGTCTGGAGAACAGAGAGAGGGGGCTCAGAACACCCAGCTGAGCGTCCCCTGCGCTCGGTGCCTCGCGGGCCAGGCGGGGCCAGCCCGAGG